GGGCTCCCAGTTATGGAAAGATGATGACACATGAACATATTGAACATGTCTCGGCTGTAAAATTTGTGATGCACATTCAAGGAGGAACCGCTATGACAATGAATTGGAGTACTGGATTACGGTGCGTGAGCGTGGACAGAAGGAGGACCAACAAAAGCACGAGGAAATCCACAGGGGACGCAAACAGGCTGTCGATTGTATTGTCCTCTTATGACTTATGAAGGTTCTTTCAACTTTTGTTTTTGTATGTTTCTTATGTGTTTCCTTCTTTCAACACATCTTCTCTTGCTCGGCTTGCGAGGTGTCAGAGGGCCCAGCTGTACCAAACAATGCTTTCGATGGTGTTGATCAAATGGTGCAGCGTGATGAAGCTGCGAAAAAAGCCAAGAGTGATACCAAACAGGAAGTACAGGCCTTCTTGTCTTGACAGCAACCTCATGTACATGCCTTGTGAAGCAGAGTTTGTTAAGGCCATTCCAAAACCAGTTGAATATAATTGAGGCCGCGCAGGGCAAGGAGACTTTGACGAAGTTTATGGAATCCATGCTGGCCAAATCCGGCAAGCTCAGATCCCTCCTTCGCGATCTTGGCGGCTACAGGTCTGAAGACGCGACGAAGCCCTGTCCTCAATCCAGTCCTCAATGAATCGTGGGGTCAAAGCCTACAATCGTTTTGTGTGGAGCTTAGGGCGTGTGGAGACCTTCAAAGGCACTTGCAGCTAATGGACGAGCAGTATGACAAACTCAACGACTGCTTGGCCAGCGGGGAGTCAAACGGTTTTCCTGCAGAGTCCTTTTCCCAAGACATGTTGAGGATGCTTGAATGTCGAGTCACGTTTCAATTCGTTTGTTTGTTTTGGCACTTTGGTCTGCATGGTTGAATAAAATGTATATAAGGTGGACATCCAAGTCAACGGAAGCCATGAAAGCTGCGACGTGGGTGTTCGGCCCTCTGCAAGGAGGTTCATGTTGCGTATGCACTGGTCTTCATGTTCATGAACTCTTGCAGTCAACCAACCCAGGTGTTCCAAGGCCTTAGCCGTAGAGAGCAAAGTAAGGCGACGTGTAGTTCCATGTTTACACATTCGGTCCCGCCCGTTTCACTCCACGCCAGGGCTGCCAAGAAGTACATGAATAAGCTGACTAAGACTGAGACTGGAGATTCAGTAGCCCCCAAAAGGAAACCCGGTGCCAAAGCCAAAGGCAAGCCAGAGGGATCAGACACTTCGTCTAAAAGGCGAAAGAAAGAGTAAATATGTACATTTTGAAGATTGCTTCGTTGGGGTGTTGCAGACCGATGGTCGATGCATAATTCATATAATGATGTACACGCCCGCACAAATACAGGAATGTATAGACTATACACCATTCTTTTTTGACAGCTATATAGCTGGCCAAAGAACTTGTTGGAGTGCGTGCGTGCCAAGTCTACCATTTCTTTGCACGAGAGAGATGTGAGATCCCCTTTGGTGTGCAAAAGCATTTTTTGCAAGCTTCTCCTTTTGCACATTTGATCAGTCGATCCTATACAATTGTGAAGTTTGTGGTTGTGCCAGGTGCAGGGGCGGCCCTTCGAGGGTTGATTGGAGAGATTGGTGAAGGCGTCTGACCCTCAACCTTGCAGAAGGGCGATCTATGTCAATGTTGCTGCATATACAACTGAGCGAGTGCACCGCAGTCATTTGATGTTTGTATATTCAATACGAGCCACAGAATATCATGAGAACAGGACTGGATATATATAGGACTCCAAAGAAAAGGGAACATGTTTGTGTTCTTTCCTGAACAAACAGTGCCACGTACTTTTATATATAAATTCTATACAATGAGCAATGGGACTCATGCGGAGAGCCCCGATGAAGAACTATGGGACCTACTTACTTGTCACCGCAATGAAACTTGGCAAACTGGCAACAAACCAAAAAACATTCAGAATTGTTTGAGTGTGCTTTGCATTTCCTTTGTCCAGTTTTTGTTTGGCCAGGAAGCTGAATGCCCTTTTCCTTGGCGAAAGTTGGCTAGACAATCCTCGCGAGAGATCAAACCGAGACATGTGCCATGTTCCAAACCACAGAAAGTGGCTTCACCTGCCTACAGGTTTTCACGACAGGTTGATGACAGCGGGTATCCCATCCGTTGGAAGCTTCCAAAGGCGGAAGCTGTTGCAGGAGCAGTTCTGCGACATGCGATTCAGTGCGTTGATGCTTTGTTTGAACAATGGGCTCCAATGATTTTCAAAATTGGGTTTACTCATGACCCAGTCTGGAGATGGTCGAATGGGTTGTACGGTTACTCGCGTGGAGTGGAAAGGTGGGGAGGAATGGTGTGTCTCTACAAGTCCAGGGAACCCTTTTCGCCAGCAATGCTGGAAGCAGCTCTTATCGAGAAGTACGGGAGATTCTCGGTTGCAAGACTGCAAACGGTTGGGTTGATCGAATGTCTTCTTATATAGTGCTTGTGCAGATTTGAAGAGAAAATTGCATTCGGACTCCCTGTGCTGAAGGTGAGCCTGGATGTCGAAACATACGACTGGGTGGAGATAATGTGAACACTGAACAAACACAGTGCGATCCAAATAGCTCTTACGTGACTTACGTGGTGTACAGGTCCTTCAAGTACAAACCAACTTGAAGCGAGGTTTGTTTAGGATCTTGAATTTGCGTCTTGAAAGCAAGGCGAAAGGGGTGTGCCTCGCATGCTGGGGCATGTGTGGAGAAAGACGTTTACTTTTTTGGCATTTCTCAATTGATTTTGCCGGTTGTGTAAGTTGCAGCAAGAAGCAGTCTTGAGCATTGGCAAGCTCTTGTGTGGCAATGTGTGCTGTGCTTGTTTACCAGAATTGTCACCGATATATGCATAGGATGTGGAAGCCAATATACGCTTCATACCTCAAATATATAGTATATGTTTCATGGATCAGAGTCAGACCAAATCATTCTAACAGCTTTGAGCGAGCATATTCTTTTGGATGATTTGTTTCGCCAAGGCCACCTGCCGCTCAGCCATCAGGTTTGCAAAGAATGTCATCACAGACATTGGACCTAAGGCGGCTGCACGCTCAGGAGGCCTTAAGGACTTGGCCAAATGCTCAGAGCACCATTCTGAACGTGACACGACCGTGATTACAAAGCGGTACAAGCTAATGCTGCCCATTCCGGTGAAACTTTTGGAGCGGGAAAGTGGAGACAATTACGAACAGTTTCACGTCCTGAGCCTCACAGATTGGGCACGTTTTTTGCTGCAGAAAAACTGTTGGCATTTGCTGGCAGGGCTTCGAAAGCCTGATCCACAGCGAGAGAAGGAGATATGGAGTGAGTTCTGGCGCATCTTCCGAGTGATTCGGCCAAAGCATGAGATTTTCAAGTACTCAGATAGCGGAAAGCTGGACCTATCTACATGTGCTGGGATGATCGTCCACGGTGACGAGGGGAGGGGCCGCAAACGCGGCCCCTTCTTAGTTTGCAGCTGGCACTCCATTCTGGGGAGGGGAATCGAAGCAGGTGTCAGAAAGCAGGCCACCTCATCTGCCCCCAAACCTTACATAAAGCACCAGTTGAACTACCGCGGGCACACATACACGTCACGGTTTCTTACTGCTGTTATGCCACGCAAGATATATGCCAACAATGACAAGGCTTTCAGCGATGTACTTGCACATATCTCAAACGATGCGGTCTACATGATTGAACACGGAGTGGCATCCCCACACACCGGCGAAGTTTTCAAGATGGCTTGTGTCGGCGTTTGTGGTGACTGGGAATTTATTCGGAAAGCAGGCTACATGGAAAGGTCATTCAGCAATATCCCAAAACGACCACTCACAGAGCGGTCTATCCCCAAAGGGATCTGCCACCTTTGCCAGGCTGGTCGTTTGGGGACACCTTTTGAAGATCTCGCTGCGCCTGTTCCTCGATGGCTTCCAACGATGTATCAGGACCTGCCCTTTGTTGCCGACAGCCCTTTGAACAGAATCCCTCACCAAGACGGAATGTTGCCTGCTCTGTATGAGTTCGACTTTTTTCATGCGTTTCACCTTGGTGTCGCCAAGACATTTGTCGCCGCGTGCATTGCCCAGGCAAGTGAGTTGTTTCAGGGAGGCCAAATTGACCAACGGTTTGATGCCCTGACTGCTGATTACATGATGTGGTGTAAAGCTACGCGAACCAGCAGCTATATAAGCTGCATATCGAAAGACAACATCGGGTGGCCAGACAGGAGTACATATCCCAACGGACAATGGTCAAAGGGACATGTCAGCACTGTTTTACTCAAATGGTTCCTACACTGGAGCAGATGTGTGGACTTGACAGGACATCCTTTGCTTGAAAAGAGCGTTGAGGCTGCAAACATCTTGCAGCAGTTTCTGGACGGCCTGTACCAAGGGAATGTATTTTTTACAGTTGCAGAGGGTGCCCGCGTGAGCTTGTTGGGGAGGCGATTTTTGTCATTGTATGCTGAACTTGCTCTAGATTCCCACAGATCAAACAGGGCACTCTTCATAATGATGCCCAAAATCCATGCGATGGACCACTTGGTATGGGAAATGCAAGCATGCAGCAGCTCTGGTCGGCCCTCATTCAACCCGCTCGCGTGGAGCAATCAGATGAATGAGGACTACATATCTCGCCCCTCGCGTCTAGCGAGGAGGGTTTCACCACGAACGGCGATTTTGAGAGTGATCAATAGGGTTCTTCAGGCAATGCGAAAGCATTGGGTTGACGCAGGGCTTCTGGCAGCTTAAAAGGGTGTTGGGTGCACATTGATATTGTCTTATGGCAAGTTGATGAAACCATTGATTTTTTCAATTTTTGGAAAACCCGGTTTTCTTATAGATAACCCGACTATTTTTCAAAACCTATTTTTTTTTAGGTTTTAGGTTCTGAAGGTACTGGATCCTACCCCCCCCCCACCGGTCACCCAAAGAGGCTAGGCCGCCTCACTCGTACTGGCTCCTACCCCCCCACCGGTCACCCGAACAGGCCGGCTCGGCCGGTCACCCGCCTCAAAGAGCATCTGCCACAGAGGCGAGATTCGGGCCAAGGCGTCCGACACTTCGATCCACGTCAGGCCACCTCGAGCGACGAACGACCCGAGAACCCGACGACGCCCGACGACACCTGGACCTGGACCGGGTGGTTACCGGTCATGTCATGGGACATGACATGACCCGAACATGACATGACATGACTTCATTGGTATATACTTCAGTATACTTCAGTATAGGCTTTCCTTCGTCGAATTGGCCCATGTTCGTGACGATGCTACAGCAGCGGAATCAGCTTCACCAGCTTCCGAATCAGCTCTCCAAACTGGGCTGCTGTCCCACATCAGAAAAGAAGGTATAGTTGTAGGCTAACCAAGCACGGAGTCTCCGGCATGTTCCGTCAACACGGCCCTCAACCGGCGCAGATCTTTCTGAAACCGCCCCGTCCGAGCGCCCGGTGGCCTGTAATCGCTGCATACCTGAGGCACAGAAACCAATCCCAGGCACGACTAATGGGACTGGTATATCCAAGAGAGGTATCCAGTGACCTGAACTAGGACCTTACTGGGGTACAGAACTGGGATAGTCTATAGGGTTCTTGAACCTCGATCTGGTAATTTATTGCCGATCAACTGACCCGTTTTCAACCATCCCCCACTGTATGTGAATAGGCCAATCCAATAGTCGTGTCTGGGAGCCCCAAATCCAGCCCTGCCGAAAGCTCCAAGGTTCCAAGTTTTGGCCGGTGACACCTGGCTACTTGTTATGCTGCATGCTTCTTTCGTACCTGCGTAAAGTAACCCTACAAGTCCAAAGACCCAGTAAAACCTGGTCTTTTACCTCCTCAAATATTGGTTGTATGACCATCCCCAGTAAAATGAGATCTTTGACTTGTAGGGTGATATTAAGATGCCCACGACTGCCTGGACCCCCCCGACTTCGGGCTGGTAGTAGGTAGACAAAGACACCCTGAATGAGTCAATGACTGGGCCCCGCTCAGCCACGCCGGCGCCGGCGCCTGCCATTATTACATAAGCCTCTACTTCGACACGGTGAATCCTTCTAGGTCCGACGTGACGGACGTCCCCGGTGTCGTGTGTGTGACGAACGCGGTTGTCGTCCGTGAAACTGCCGGAGAGTGGCAAGGTGTGCCAAGAGAGGCCCAAGGTCCCGAAGCGTTCCGTCACGATTTTCCACGTCGCTGGGTCCTGATCCGATCGGTGCACCCCGATCCTCGGGGTTCGGGCTCGAGGTTTCGAGGTTTCGAGGTTCGAGGTCGGTGGTTTTGGGTGGAAACAATAAGGTATAGGACACGACGCCGGGGAAAAGCGTGGGATGGGCTGATTGCAGCGGAATTGGGTGTGGTGGGCAGGAAAGTGACCCTGGAGAGAGGACATGCGTATATATGTATATATATATATATACCCAGACACTCCATGTGCGCCATATATGCCTACATTGGGGTGGTTTTGGGGGTCAATGTCTGGGATATATAAATATATACCCTCAACTTCAAACGTCTCTAGTAAACTTGTGCGCTTACCCACGTCGGAGTTTACTCAAGACATTTCGTCTCGCCTAAGTTTACCCTGTGCTCAGTTTGGTTGTTTCTGAACCCGTTTTAAATAAACCTTTCAACATCAGTCCAGGACCTTCGTTTCAACAATATTATTTCAGAAACTCAGAGATGAGACATAAAATCTCAGAGACATACTCCCGCATTTCCTTCGACTTTGGTGTTTGTCTGGTGTGCCACTCCAAACCTCTTCAGTACTCTACATGCAATAGCAAAAACGATCACACATGTATCATGAAACAAAAACATGAAACATATAGGGTCCAATTTCACGGGTAAACCTGTGCATTCACGGGTAAACTTGTGCATTCACGCTACTTCACGCCTATTTCACACTATTTCACGCTACCCCTTTTTTCATGTGTCCAAGTGCTCTATGATGTTCAATGAGATCTTCATAAAGCCTCATCCTTCCCGGTCTGGTATGACAATACATTCTTTCAGTCAAGTGACATCTCAGATATGAGATCATGAAAATTGTCATTTTCGACATAAGACTTGTATTGATCCCAACATGTCTGAAACGACAACCACAAAATTGTGGTTGTTCCACCACAGATCTATTTTGAGCCATTCATGCTTGGTTAAACTTGTGCATAGCAGAACGTACAAGTTTGCTTGGTTAAACTTGTGCATCGATAACGTCCAAGTTAAACTTAGCCGTTGAAGCCTAGTATATATATATATATATATTATACAGACATTGACAAGCTGGTCTCACCAGCCAACAGTTCATCTCATCTTCTCACCCCCCGTTCCAAGTCAAACATGGCATCATCAAGCCAAATGAGTGTGTATTTAAATAGGGAGACCCCCCCAAAGACCTCCTGGAAGAAGGAACTGACATAGACCAAAAGCATTTGGTTGGGGGTCTCCCCCAACAAAATACACACCGACAGTATATCAAAGCCTCTTTTGTTTCAGGTGTTTTTTCCTGATCTGGTCGCACCCACCCCATGCACCGTCAAGACCACCGTCACCAGCAGAGCTTCACTGATCTCCCAAACGCTCCGCGATCCGACGCTCCGAAATCTCGCTCCTCGGTGGCATTGACCTCATCGACTCGCCACTCCGTGCAAATGTCGGTGAAGATCAAGCTGAACCTGACCCAGACACTCCATGGGACTGCCATAGGACTGCCGATCAGTTGGGGTGGTTGACTGGGGGTCAATTGATCGGCATATATGGCAGTCCCATGGAGTGTATGGGTGAGAAAACGCGCGGCACGTTCGGCGTTCACAGACATTGACACCCTTTTCACGAGGCGTTCGAAACCGCTGAAGACTGAGGACTCGAAGAGGCAAAAAGGAACGGAACGTTGAAGAAGGACGAGCTCGGGAACCTGACTCGCGAGCCAGTGATCAGGTTGATTGATATTAGGATGATCACTGATCTGATAACAATGATACAACATGATGACATAACAATAACTACTACCGGGAGCTTTTGTGGGCTATTCCTCTTCGAGCTGCCTTGTTCATCTTCTTCTATCCCGGCCCACTCAGGTTCGTTAGGTCCATGTACCAAAAGACTTGAAAGCAGTCTGGACAGCCGCACGGACTGACTCCCAGGACCGTCTCGTATACCCCAAGACAGCAACTCCGCAGGCATCCGTCTGTAGGTAGGATTGAATAGATTCGCCTACAAAGCAACAGAGGTGGGTCAGAACCCTAGTTCAAAATTCGACGATCCCAGTTGGGTACCCCAGGTGACAGGTCCTAGTTCAGCTCCCTGGATACCTCTCTTGGAAGCTCGCTCAGGCTGTTGTTCGTCCGAAAAAGGTCAGGAGTGGCGTCCGCAGGATCAATCGACGGTCTAGTCAACGCGGCACACCTGGACACCTGAAAGGTCAATGAGCTGGTTCTTCAAAGTGACTGAACTTGATATCCCAGTTGGTTCGGTCAGTTTGGGCCTGTAAAAGGTCACTGGCTGGCAATCCAAAGAGGTCGCGAACTGAAGAAGCTGGGAGTTGCCTTGAAGAAAAAAGAAGAACCACCACTGCCTGGACGCCCCGACCTCTTTGCGGGGCTATTAGTGGACACCCGGAATCCGTGCTGGTGAAAGCTGGTTAAGGTAGCCTTGGCCAGTTGGACCCTTAAAGCACCTCCGTCGGTATCAAACATGGGATATTGTTCAATGCCCTAATGGTTCCGGTTTCAATCTACCACCACTCGAGAAGGTGGGACTGGGTAATGTTTAAAGGGTGAGTTTCCTGAGCTGGGAGCACCCGACCAGAAGCAGCCATCCCAATTGAGCTGCATGTGAAGCCAAGGTACAGGAAAATGATCATGATCAGGAGAACTCCCGACCAGGCCATCGCACGCAACGTCCGCCCAATACAATACAGCAAAGTCTTCCTGAGAGAGCAGCATGGATGGCGAGGACGTTGAGTTGCTTTGAACATCGTTGAACCGGTTGTCCAAACTATAGTACGTAGAACTGGTGTGTTGGGGTGTGGTTCTCATGATCTCTCTGTCCTGGTTGGGTCTGAAACTTTCATGGTTTCCTTGTCTCTCTCCCCTGCCCAGCCCCTTGTTTCGCATGCTTCTAGAGTCTTGACTTTGTAAAAAACCACTGATTCCCTCAGTGTCCACCTCTTGCTATTCCCCTACACCTCCAAGTACCTCCTCAGAAGGTATGACTAGACCCTCCTGGCACCCACCCCAGTCCCACCTTCTCAGGTTCGGTACTTGGACGGGTTCATGGGCTGGGACACCAATTGATCCGAACTCTTCGCAGGTGATCCGAACCCTCGGAACTTCCGACCGGTCCGACCGGAAAAACCATCAACCCTTCGACATACATGCATGCAATACCGTGGGGGGGGCGAAAGAAAAAATGGTGAAACGCAACAGGAAGTTGGATCTGTTGGATCTGGCAACTACTTTCACACTGAATCTTGAGTCAGGTCGACCTGAGTACTGCTTCTTCCTCACTCACCCAAGCAGGCACTTGGCAATGCGGCGCAAGGTTGCTTCTGAGAAGTCTTGTCTTTTGTCTTTTCCACACGATCCATCAACATCCAATAAGAGGTTGCTGGGCGTCTGACACGAAACAACATTACGATCAGATCGTCCCGAGTTTAAATCAGCCGGGACATTAAACAAGTGTTCAAAACGGAGCCAGGGAAATGTAAAACACTTCCCAGGGGATCCCAGTCACTCTGGGAACACAGTGGATGCTAACAATCGACTCTGGGCACCGCACTGAAAAATCGGGTTGGTGGTTTCAAGTGAGCCAGAAACATGGGTCGGTTGAACATAAACCTATCCCCAAATCACGAAACAGTTGGCTGCTGTTTCTGCTGTTGGCACAAAAAAAAACGAACCGGCTGAGAGGTCCTGGTGCGGGCCTGGAGGATCCAGGGTTCACCAGAGTTGCCCCGTTTTTCGTTCGTACCTCAGGACATGGGGGACGATGTCGTACGCTGTATTTGTTGTTGTCATGTCGGGTCCAGGGGATGTTTGCATTGCAGTTTGCCTGGCCTCCTGGCCTGACCCGAGCAAGCCTTCGAGCCTTCGCATGGGTTAGACGTCTCTGGACGTTGCACTCCGAGCCATGGATGGGAGCCCCAAAGGCTCAGGGAAATGGTTCTTCCGAAAGTGACCTGGCAGCTTCCTTCCCCACCTCCAAGTGATTTCGCCAGTGAAACAACCTGCTTCTTCACTCCTGCAACCAGCCATCCCCTCACAGTGACAGGCTGCAATGAGCGAATGAACTTGACCAAACGCACCACTCGGATCGCGCGAGTGATCTTGGCCACCCGCAGAATTCCTCGGCTCTGCGCGATCCGGTGTCGGTCCCCGGACCGATCGGCGGACACCGAACAAAAGGCGCGGAGGAGTTGTCTCCACGGTCACAGCGTTGAAGTCCAAAGGATCTTGAAATGCCCATCTCCAAGATGAACACTAGAGAAGAGATGAACAAGAGACCCACAAGACCCAAAAGAGATGAAATATGAGAAGAGATGAACTCAGATTGCATCATGGTACTGAGTGCAATCTCACAAGACCCACAAGATGAACACTAGAGAACCTCAGTGAACTACTCCTAGGGATCCAAGTACCTTCTCAGAAGGTACGACTGGACCCTCCTGGCACCGATACATATGTCTCCATCCTCACATTCTGAGAAGGTACTTGGATCCCGAGGGCCCTAGGGTCTAATAATGTCTAATCCCTAGACTTCCAGGACCATTAAATAAATTGTTGGCCTGGTTATTTTGTAGTGGAAAATGATTCGGTAAAGCCTATTAAATTAATGGTGGTTGGAAGCCTAGGGTAATCTCATTCACATGCAATCTTGTGACACCGCCGTAGCGATCGACTTCATTCATGTTTGCACCCGCAGTAAGCCGATTTGGGTAGCAACATGTTGTCCATGTTGTTCTCTCCTCACAGAGTGAACAAACATGTACAGCTGACACACGGCACGAATGGGGAAACCAATTGAAAAGCAACAACGAGGAATCAGTTCTGAATCGGCATGGCAGCTTATACCAGGGGCCCCCCCCAAACCATCCAAGTCACATGGTTTTCCCTAGCAAAACACATGGTTTTTGTATATGAAAACCTTTGTTGTTCATGGTTTTGAGGGCCCCTGGTAGGCTTATACTATAGAACCTGTCTTTTTGCTTCATCACTACACCTCGTCTTTTTCCCAGTCTTTGAGAGTCTGTCTCCACAGATTAAGTAGTATATACCTGGTATGGAACCAAGTACTTAAGGTGACACCGGGTCAACCCTACAACATCAGCAATGCCGCAATGCCCATTTTCTCCGTACATCTCGACTTCTAGGATGCGAGACAGGTCGAGACATGGTCGATGCAATCTTCGGTGTCAGACAGTCAGACAGGTCTTTGCGGATGTCACTCTTCCTGTCTCGCTGAGTTCGATCTGGACTTCACCCCTTCCGGTCTTCAGCGGATCCCACGGCGAACGAGCCACGGACCATGCGCATGCTGGTGCTGACGTTCTGCGTGGCGGACTGTTCCTACACCGGCCGAACGCAGCGGAGCAGCGAGGTCCGCCCATCGAGGCAAACCGAAAGAGGCTGGTCATGCAGGATGCCAGGCCATGCAGGAGGCCAGGCATCCAGGCGTCCAGGGTCAACGTGGGAGGAAAAAAAAGAAACGTTGCACCAATGATTAAAGGGTCTGGACGATTCTGCAGGTTCTGTAGCTAGTCCGTAAAGAAACACATGTCGGTGTGGGTCTCTCAGTGCGAGAAAAGGAGGCAATGTCCCTAACGGTGACCAGGCCCTCGAACACTTCTTGTCGGTGACCAGGGACAACCTCAACGAGGAAACCTCTCAAATAATTGTATTTACTCTTGTGGCCACAGGTGACAGTCGATAGTAGTAACAGTATTAGTAACAGCATGCAAGTTCTGACTGTCCAATACTATACAAAGAAGATCCGCGTGTCGATCTGCGTGTCGCTTATCCCGACTTATCCCTGTGACGACAGACGACTCGCGTGTCTCCTCACCACGGAGGATGATTTCCAGGATGAACTCCATAAGGCTGGAGGCGACCACCAAAATCTGATCGCCGCGATCGCGGCTCGCGGCTCGCGGCGAGAGGTCAGCGGCGCGGCTCGGTCGGGTGGCCGAGACAAACAGACAACGTGACCCCCACAACCAACGATTTGCCAGGCCAGGGGTGATGTTCAGATGTTTGAAGTGTCAATGTAGGTACATATTCCAGTCTCATGAATGGTCTGGGCCGGAGTGGATGTGTCATATACAGTGGAGCCGCCCAAACAAAAAATGGATTGCCACAATGAGGTCTCGTGAGGAATTCCAGTACATCCGTGAATCGTTCTGGAGCTTCAGGCACAGGGTGTATAGGGAGGACTGAGCCTTACATGTTCTTCCTTCCAAAGGAGGTCAATGCACTGGTGCTCCAATGTCTTCCCTCAGACCGAATACATTATTACGGATGTTGATGGATGTGATTTCACGTGCCACCTGTTGTGCATTGGATTATAGACCTAGGAAACCGTTTTGGATTCAAATGGTGAAAACGCGTCGATTCAACAGGTGAAATCGAACCATGCATGATCTTTTCGTGTATGTTGGGTCCACGCATCTGGTCTCTTGCGGCTTGCGTGCAGACCCCTTTCTACGACCCCTCCGTGTGGCTCTGAACGGCTCCCTGTCTATAAAGGTATGTTCTGCCCCAGCTACAAAGTGGCTCCCTCCTAAACCCACAAGCTAGGACTGAGGAAACATCTGCAGACTTCTTTCAGGTTGGGACTGGGTTAGAGCCCAACAGCGAAACCGTAATTCTGACATCCACAAAAGCGACTGAAGGCTTTTGCCAATCATCTTACTCCAACAGGCTCAACAAATCCTGAAGTCAGAACTCATAATCTTAACCAGGTGCCGGCTCTTTCCTGAAATCACAACACCAGGACTCGGGTCAGATTAATCCTTCCCAGTCGCATCTAGTGCCAGCCAGGCCCAGTCTTGGGTACATGTACCTCAGGAGAGGGCAAAGCTTGGCAGTGTCCCAGGATCGGACAGGAGTCGGACACCCTTGCCGAGCCTGGATGAGAAACCAATGAGAGGACTCGATGGGGCTCCTGTCCCACATAGAGACATAGAAGGTATAAAGTTATACATAGTTGACTAACCCCCCAAACCACCCCACCTCAACCACCGAAGCGAGTCGAGTTTTGGAGGTCCTAACAGGAGAATAGACCATGAGGATAAGAGCTGCTCTTCTTCAAGGTTCCACCCAAACCGCTCTTCTTCAAGCTGCTCCACATGGAGGTCGAACCAATCCATGGGTTTTTACAGGTCGAGCTTTTAGGAACATCATGGAGCATCGCTTCAGATTGGAAACCCTTTCCCTGCAGCGCCTGGATCGGATCCTCCTTGAAACTGCATGTGATTTCGCACGGTCGAACTGCCTCGCTCCAAACCTTGTAGATGTTGCAAATCTACAACCAGGAGCCCCTAGTAGCTTTATTGCTCCTAGTAGTACGGCCACTACTAGTAGCGTCCTTGCTCCTAGTAGCGATGCCAGGAGCCCCTAGTAGCTTCTTGTGCCTAGTAGTAAGGCCAGGAGCCCCTATAGTAAGAGGGTGATGATTGACAGTCCACACTGTCTCTCCACTGTCCATTGCACTCAATCTACTGCTAGCTAGCAGCCTGATATACAATCCGATCTGACCCAAATTTCAAACTCTGGGAATACTGCACTCCACTATAAATGGTTGCTGTTTCGTGAGCCAAATCCGCGCCATGCGGTCCTAACCTTGTGGTCGCAGTTAAGATGCTTCGAGGTTCAAGCCGACCTGGATGGTCGAGTTGTGTAGAGGCGATACATCTATTTGGATGATCAACACGCTAGGCAGTTGGTGAATTCCACACGAATTCCCAAAAGGAGTGTTTTTCGCCGCGAGAACTAGCCGCCCTCGATCAAACCTCCCCACACTTGCTGTACTCTCACCGCATGTGGCATGCGAGGGACGCACGCCACCCACTAACAGACGCAAAAGAAGCTCCTTCCAAAGCGGTGCACGTGATGGGCGACCCCGAATATGAGGCACGCGGGGAGGTGGAACATCTGGAAGCATTTCCGTCAATGGTCGGGTCATTGGTACCTTCAAAGTCCAAAAACACATTATGTCAAGAATGTCAGAGTGAACGCACACGCACACACACATTCACACATGCTGAGCATGCTGAGCATGCGGAGCAACCGGATAGAGCCTTGACCAGTGCACAGCCTACTAGCAGCAAGGGTTCTGGAACTGTGAAACTCAGGGAACCAGCAGTCACAGAGCTCGGGGTGCAAAACATCCACTCAGGAGACTAGTCCACCACCCCGAGCTTTGTGACTCCTGGAACCTTCATCAGCCGGATCCACAGCCACCGTCTCACGGTGAGAAGGTGGCTGACACGAAGGCTTCACGAGGTGGACCAGTCACAACGTGTATCCAGTGGATGGCCCGTTGAAAGCCCGGAAGGACCAGCATCCGAACTGGAAGAGTTACCTGTATGTGGATGATGATGCTTATAATAAAGGGCTTGTTCAAACATAGTCCCTAGGGATCCAAGTACCTCCTCAGAAGGTATTTGGACACTCCAAACCTACATAACAGTGTCTCCAATCACCGTACCTGAGAAGGTACTTGGATCCCTAGGGACTATGCTACTTGGTTCACTGACTGTTCCAGGTGACCCCAGGCCGTGACATCACGTGCAGACCCGACGTGCGTGCGGAAACCCGACGACGTGCGAGGCTTCCCACCAGACCCAGAAGGAGAAATTGTCAGCTTCTGGCTGCTCCTTCCCATTCATTCTTAAGCATCGAATCAATAAGAAAAGAGGATTGATCCTCAGAAAGCTCTAGTGGAGTCAAGCCGCTTTCACCCAACGGAACAAATAATGAACAAAACACAAGGCCTGAGTGACTTAGCGTGATACAACAGATTTACGATCTTCTCTAAGACCTGCGACCTGCCTGTGTGAGGCATAATCTGTCATATTGCTTGGATATTTTGATGCCTCACTTGGTTCTGTCACGGCTCAAAAGTCACTGAGGTAGTGAGGTACCTCAAAAAAGGCTCCCTGAAGTGAAAGAAACTGATCAACAAAATCCGTTTCTCAACAAACGGAATTCCTTTCCCAAACGCGGAATTCGTGTATGGAATAGTTACAGACTATTTCAGGGGTTCAATGTAGGCTTCGTCTTCCATATATACCAGGACCCTCCAAGAGGTGTCGATCAACAGCCTCTTAGAGGTGAGTCGAGGTCCAAAAACCACCTGTGAAGTCGGGTGCTGGTTCAAGCGTCTGGGTTCCCCACCTCCTGAGAAGGTGCTTGGGGTGGGTTTTGGGGGTCTAACCACCTTCTAAGGATATGGTTGGAGCCCTAGGGGTTTGCGATCGATCTCGGTGAGTTTTCGGTTCTCCCCGGCTCCACGGTGAAGAGCAGCGTGTAGATGGAGGCGATCACGAACATGGCTTCACTCGGAGGAGCTCCTGTAGGCGGGCGTCCCCAAAGGCAGGTCCAGCCCCTCAGGGTGAACATATGGACCCTCCAACAAGCTGTTTGGACCCTAACAGGTGGTTTCTGGGCACCGAACTTGTCACCAGGAAGCACCTGTTGGAGGGTGCTGGTATATATATTATATATATATATGTTGCCGGATACGATCTGCTGGAGAGTCTCCAGACTTGTGTGCTAATAATGCCAAATCACGGCAGGGTGGCCGGTGGCAGGTGCCATCACATGTGGATCAAAAGCATTCAAAAGCTCGGAATTGCATGCGGTATGAGTTGCATGATGCTGCCATGAAATGTTGCCTCAAAATGTGTCCATGGTTCCGTCGCCCTTTTGACAAGCTTGCAGGGTCCAGTGCACTGAGGGGAATGCATACATCAAAGCTTGCCGCAAGCGATTCATCACCTCCCTGCCCTTGCTTCATCTCTCGACGGATCTTCCACAGCTGTAGCATCGTATATCGTGACCTTGGTGTCATCCTGGTCGTCGCCGGTCCATGGCATGGTCTCCGTGAAAGGCGATGCTCACAGCGACTCCTGATTGATCCACCCACTTCCACGCATGGCGAAGCCACAGCCTGCGACTGCTGCACCTGGCCCATTTCACACAGGTGGCCCATGCAGCATTGCCGACACACCGGCCCGCGGCAAGAACATGCTGTATATATAGACAGAAGGTGTTTCTTGGGCTCGCGCGCTCGTAAGACACCAAGAGCAACATCAACAACAAGGACAACAACAACCAACCACAAAAAACAGCAAGCAAGCAAGCAAGCAAGCAAGCAAGCAAGCAAGCAAGCAAGCAAGCAA